AAAAAAAAAAAAAGCAGGCCAAATAAAAACGACGCTCTGCACCTCCCGTTCAGTCAGTGCAGCGACTTTAAGGTTCGCCACGTCTGTAATGAATCATTCATAAACATCCGCTGCGAATGATGCGGGTAATTGTAGCTTAGCTACGGTGCAGGGCTGGGTTCAGGGCTTTTTATTTTTTTCTTTCTCCACTTTGTGGTTTGTCTCACAAAGGTAGCGCAGCTCTCTTACCTGAGATACCAGTCGACAGTGAGGAACTGGAGATTAGGTTTTAATCAAAGCCATCCTACATAGTCCAATGTATTTCCATTGCTTTGATGTAACAAAATCATAACTCCTGTCATCGTTTGTTGAATCATTGTGGCAAAACCAAAAATCTATCGGCGGATTTTCTATAACGTGGTAGAATTAAGTGAGATCAAATGATGCCATAATAGAATGGAAATTACATGATTACAGTCTAATTATCACACCTTTAGAATTTATTTTACACAGTCAAAACATAATAATTAATTACATTTCCTGTACTTTTTCAGTTATTTAAAACAAGGCTTCCCACACAAGGAAGGCAATGCTTTCAAAAGACTTAAAGAAAAAAATCTTTTCCTAAGGGCCCTTTCTATTGGAAACAATTTAAAAAAAAAAAATCCGACAACCTGAACTGCAATCCTAATTTTTTCACCGGAAAGGATTTAGTGTAACCGCAACGTTATGAATTGGGCTTGGGGAAAACGTAAAGTGCCCCACGATGAGAAGAGCGTAAAGACGATAGTGGCTTGGACCAAACCCCAGCTAACGAACAGAGCAGCACCAGTACTAACCTAACTCTCATTGATCGCAGTTGCACTTAAATTAACCAAGGCTTCGGTTAGCCGTCACTGCTTTAACCGTTGTTTGTTTTTGTCACTAATGAAGTCTGAAGAGTGCTAAGTGGTGTCACGGCCCCGCAGCAGGCCCCGGTACCAAACGCTTTGCTGTTATTTTCTTGCAGACCCCAGCAGTGACAGGAACAGTCCCGCCACAGGTTCACAAAATGTACCGGAAATGAGAGCCGCGCCATCCGACCGACGGCAGCACCCATCATCGGAGTCCAGTTATCCACCAGACCTTCACAAATCATCACCACATGGGGACAAGCGGACTTACGTTAGAGACCTAAAAGGCAGCAGAGAGGCTAGCAGACATCCCAACGAGCACCACACTTGGAACGGGACTTCTAAAACCACCGGCAGCGTGCCAGGCAGGAGAACCGAGCGGTCGCCCGAGAGGCGGCGCGACGGGCAGCCTGAGCGGCTGGTGGTGGTGAACGGGCAGAAGCGAAGACCTCCGGAGAAGAGGAGGGAAGGGACGAGGAGCGCCGACACCACGTTGGAGCGGAGGGAGAGGCCGGAGCGGAGGAGGGACCCGTCTCCCGAGCGGCGGGGGGGGGGGCCGCCCGCCCCCCCCCCG